TCTATGACCACAGTATTGTCCATAGCTACATGAACTGCCAGTCGGCTCCTGGAGTCAAAAACTGCCAGTTTCCTAAGTGGGCACAAAGTGTAGTTGATTTTATGCAAAGACAGTACAGCAAAAGTAGTTTATTTGAGGTTTACTGAGCTTTAATAATATATTCCGGTTATATTATGTACTAATAATCACAAAAAGCAAAGGATAATGGTGATTTTTTTAAAATAATAATAAGTATTTAATTTGACTTGGCCAACTTACTTGAGTACCTGTGCCACTGTATTTGGACCATACCACTGGCCTATAGACTTGCCCTCACCAACACCCATTTGAGCTGAGGAAAACAACAAGCAATGTCAATGCAGTAACTTACCCATCAAAAGAGTAACTTTAACACTATTTCTATAATATGCAGGCAGCAGGTAGATGAGGAGTAGTACCTATTTGATGGATGGAATAATAGTTGTCCTTCTTGTCAATGAAGGCATTGAGAATGCTGATATATTCTGCTCTCTGCCGCTGACCTGGACTCCATGTCCAGTCTAATAAAAATACAACCATCTCAGACAACAGCAGACACCATAATCACCAACCTCGTAACACAGGTTTGTCTTACCTCTACCTAAGTGGCTGCAGATCAAGGCCTGCCCAAGAATCATCTGTCCACATCGAAGCATGCAGCCCCAGCCGGTGTCTGAAGTGGGCCCAGTGCCACCTGTAACATCACATCCATTAACAAACCATCTGTAAATCTAAACAGACTATCCAGATGAATAATTAAATGCAGTCCTTGGACAGTGAGATCAAGATTGAGGACTCTGACTCTCACCAATTGGCTGGAAGTTCTTTCTGTACGTGAACCACAAACGTGAGGTGACGTCTGCCAGAATCTCATCCTTCTCTGGGGCACAAAGAACTTCATGAAACAAGAGACAAACACGACAGCACAAGACCTTCGATGTCTCCAATCAATTTCCTTACCTGTTAGAGCGCTGAACTGCTTTCCCAAAATCCAGACAGGCTCAGAGGTCTCTGGGAAATCTTCGATCTCTCCATAGCGCAATGAGTCGTATGTGAGAGTAGCTGTTGAAAGAAAAGCCAAAGACCAACTGGAAGTTCAATACCTTACAGACCATCAGAAACATTAAAAAGAGCTTTTGATACGAGTGAAAAAAAGATATTGTTTTGAACATCTTTTCAGTTTGTTTGTTTTTTAGTAGGCTTAGCCATCTATCTGTCATTATCTTTTTTTTTTTTTACTTAATCATTCCAATATTTTTTTTCCAACAATGCATTTTGAGAGAGATGCACATCTGTCCAATGCAATTAAAGACATACAACACAAAGCATTCATTTATCTAAGCTAATTTATGTTACTTATTTACTTATGTAAATATTTCAAGATTTATAAGGTAATCCTTTATTGTGAACAAATATGAATGAATAATTACTAAAACTCTATTTATAAATTAACCTTAACCTAGATTAATAGTAATTTATAATTTATTGTTCACACCTAATCCATTAACAAATTCAACTTTATTTTAAAGTGGTACCTGATTTTTTTTACTACCAATTTTACTGCGTTTATACCGCTGTGTATGTGTAACTTCACGTTGTCCCAACTTATATAAGTTTCACTCTTTTTAATACGGCTACAAAATTGTTCATTCTAATGGATGTCATGCACCAAAGGGTTAAAGACATGACACTGTGTAAAAGTTATTGACAAACAGATTCTTAGAGTACGCAGAAATTGATAACAAACGACATGGACGCTCCCTAAAGCGTTTACAGCTGAACGGTATCATACTCCTGATGTCCACAATGCTCAAGGGTAGACAGCTGACTAGACTGAAACACAGCCAAATACAGCCTAACAGTTTTGACGGAAGCCAGTAGCATTTTGGTGCAATGACATCTAGAAGACAATACTGTGTCCATCCCTCATCTGACAGCAGACTGCTCTGTTTCACTGTCCAGTTGGAAGCAGTTGGGACGTCTATGTACCATATTTAACGACAAATTCCCAAACCGTAGAAGCAGCCTCTCCGATAACAGGCGCGTACTTGGTTGACGATAGAAGAATTTTGCTTTTTAACAATTTCATGACATCCGGACAGATGACCAAAATGTAAAAGGAATTGTTTTCCTGCGATTTTCTTACCTGCATCCATCCCGACAGTGATTCAGCCTATCTTGTTTGTTGAGTGTTCCTCATACTGCCCTGACCAATAGGAAAGCACTTCCTCATTGGTCATCATGCGTCATTACTGTGATAACCAATCAGAGCAATTAAATTAATTTGGTGTTTTTTTGGCCAATAGATTTTCTCCAAAGGCGGGATATGTTGTTGTCTGGGAAGTGGCTGTAAATTTTTATTGATCCTTTCATTGACCGAAATTGAACGGATTCCACCTTGTTTGTCTTTGATTATTTCACTCAATATCTGACAGCAAGTGCAGCAGAAATTATGTGACTGGACGCGGACGTCATCCCGCGTGTGTGTGTTCATTTTTTTTTTATTAAAGCTCATAAACATTATACATTGTTATTCAAAAGCACTTGTGCAATGGGGAAAAAAATTTTTTCCTATACCTTCTATTGATAAAATATGGTCAGCAAGTAACAATTTTTTTCAAACTGATTTTATTGCCAAATAAGTTTAAAGAAGACATCTCTCACCTCAAAGATCTTTTGGTAATTCTCAATCTGAAACTCTCACACATGTATTCTGTAACTGATATTCTAATGACTTTTGGAAGCAGGTATCGATTTTTGATACATTCTACTAAGTAATTAAAATAGACGAATATGTGATCCTCTTTTTGGACTGTAATACTGGCTTCAATATAATTAATAACACATTAAGGGTAATTCTTCTTGGGAAGTTTAGCTGAAGTAATATAAAGCTGAAGTCAATTACGCCCTCCTTTAGGTTTTTCTGTAAATATCTTAAAATATTTTATGGCTCATTGAATTGTATGTTCTTTGAAAATTAAAACAAACTAGTTATTAGATGTAGGGAGCAATTACTTTTTCACGTAGGGCCAGGCAGGTTTGGACCGCTTTTCCCTTAATAAAATAAATAATAATTTAAAAACTGCATGTTGTATTTACTTGCGTTATCTTTGTGTAATATTAAAATTTGTTTGATGATCTGAATCTTTTAAGCGTGACATATGCAAAAAAATTTAAAAAACAGGAAGGGGGCCAACACTTTTTCACACCACTGTATGCATGTATACATACATGCATACAGTGGTGTATGTATGTATACATACATACACCACTGTATGTATACAGTGGGGGGGGGTTTGTCTCTCATAGTTGAGGTATACCTATGATGAAAATTACAGGCCTCTCTCATCTTTTTAAGTGGGAGAACTCGCACAATTGGTGGCTGACTAAATACTTTTGTGCCCCACTGTATATATATATATATAGACAGTAACAGATCGCAATGATAAACATTTATAATTAAAAAGGTGGATTAAATGCATTACAAATTCAGTCTAATGAAAACCTATCACGTAATGGAGAATCAATCGCTTAATTTTAAATTCCATCCTCATCACAACACTTGTCTTTGCGCTTTGTCTTGAGATGACTACAGTTTAAAACAATAGGCACCTGTAGTTCCATTTAAAACCACTAGGTGTCAATGACTTATCGCAAATTGGAAATAACGCAGAAAGTTGAATTATAAATGGATAGTCAGGTTGAGTTACTTAGCCATTCAGAAAATATGCTGGATCATATTCCGAAATATTTGCTCTAACATTTATCTTAATGAACACAGAATATTATACTCTTTCATGTCTGCCAATAGCTATGGTTGTATGTAAAAAACCACTCATTTGCATTACTATGCTTTGTTTATAGGCCTACTCAATAAGCCACTCATTTCTGTTGTTCTCAAAGTCCGAGTTTCTTTGCCTGGTTCAGGGTAAATGAAACCACATGTTAAGAGTGATCACCATGGTAACAATATCTCTAACTATGCTATCTGATCTAAACTGCATCCTCCCACTCGCTTTCCACCAATTACACTAATGTTGTGTAGAGTTATCAGCCTGAAGGCTTTATTACGTTAATGGTTTTTTCAACCCGGAGTAAAGCAGAGTAAATACATTTTTGGGGGGAAAAAACCCCCAAAAAGTATATTTTTATTTTGCATACATTCAGTGTAGCATACACAACAATGTGTAGTTTTCAACATAATTTTTTATAAACTGAACTATACAAGAGAACAAAAGAATGAAACAAAATTATAAAACACCAAGTTTTAAGTTATTATACTGATGGCTCCATGATATCTTACAGTTGTTCAAGGTGGCACCAACAACGCCAAATATAAGATTTGGGTAAAATATTACACAGGGGGGGACAAAGAAGAGAGAGACCACACTATGAAAAACTAATTGACAGGTTCCGACATGAAATATGGCATGAACTGAAATGCCATATTTTCAAATGTTCATATCTATTTTTCATTATTAGTCAACCAAAATCTAATTTCTTTTCACTCTCCCACAGTCATTTGCATACAGTAGTTTGGAGTTTTTCCTTGGGAAATACAATAATATAATCCTGATATTGATCTCCATTTCACATAGATCTGTTTTCCCATGAACTCCTGGTCATTTTTCATACTGCATTGTGGATATCTGCATTTTGAGATCATCAAAACCACTTGAGACAGGGAAAAATTTAATAATAATCAGAGAAACTTTCTGATTAGACAACGTTGGTCTAGACAGCACTGGTCCAAGTACATGAACATTGTATTTCACACGCAAATACAAAGGTCACGACAGCTTCCTCTCAGCTGTGTCCCATCGGCCATGGTATTTTGCATATCAACATTAGGTTCAATAAAATCGGTAACAGCAAAAAATGCCTAGAGTGCAAGAGGCCAGGTTAAACACTTAAAGCCTTAAAGATAACGGTGCATCTTGGAGCGCAAGAATATCCTTTAAAGGAAAAGTGCAAACTTTGTGCAAGTGTAAACACATCAAGAGCAGTGAAAGGCTTAAGCAGTGACTAGAAACCCCTTCTGCCAGTTTTGGAAGAGTCCAGCTGTCCGTCACTTGTGTGTGCTGCTCTTTATTTTTCTCTCAGCAGGTAGAAGACCACGGCCTTGAGGTAGTGACCGCAGGCACAGGCAGCTGCCACCAGCCAATGAGAACGGAAACTGGGATCTGTATTGACTACACACTTTGTGATGTCCGCCTGTAAGAGAACAAAGAAAATATTTAAATATCATAATCAACATACTCAATAGTGCTGAAAAAAAAAACTATTAAAAATGCAACATTCAGATATGGAGTTTGGCATTTCAATTTGTTTTACGTTTTTTTTCTGAGTTCATCTGGCATCAACAAAAGGAAAAGGAACTGCAGTTTGCACTGAAGTATATGCCTTTTAGGCCAAAGCCAACATTCAGTAGTCTAAACATTATACATTTCAGCATGCAGCATTACCAGGTTGGCCAAATACAAAGTTCTGGCATGAAACTCTAGATGGCGCAGTCCGATAGCTCAATCTGACCTGGCGACATCATTGTCATATGGCAGCTGATTGGTTCTCTCCTGTATAGGTAGCCAATGAGATTACTGATTAATATTCATATTCAGCCAGGTATTCAATACCTGGTTTTTGTTTGCTGTAGCAATTTTGCAGCGCACCGAAACTCTCCACCTTCCCCAGCTCCACCTGTATAGATCTGCTACGAGGTGATTCATGTATGCTATATGGGGGTTATTCATATGTGCTATAAGTGCAGCAGCAGTATTTCTTCCATGCTCACAGCAGCATGTTGTGGATGCCGCAGCAGCGTAGCAGATCTATTCCGTCAAGACCAAATACATTAACATTATCATGTACATTACCATGCCAATCCCTCTGAGAGTTGTCATGACAGAAATGTTATTAAAGTTCCAAATTAGCTGAATACACATTAAGATGATTCAAGTTCAGTTTGTTTGGATTTGACAAACTTTTAAAAAATTTAAGAAGCAAATTTACCCACACAAAAGAGATAATATAATATTATGCTTACCAAGGCTGCATTTATTTGATCACAAATACAGTAGAAACAGAAATATTGTGAAATATTACAATTTAAAGTAACTGTTTTCAATTTAAATGCCATTCTGAGATAGAAACGCAGATTTTTTTCAGCAGCCTTTATTCCATTTGTCAGTGTTATATAATCACTCAAAAATATGCTGATTTGATGCTCAAGAGACATTTCTTTTGATTATGAATAGACAAAAATTGTTTTGCTGCCTAATAATTTTGAGAAAACAATTTTTTTTTTTTAAGTTCAGAAGAAACATTTATTTGAAATACATTTTTGTGACATTTTACATGCCTTTACCGTCACTTTTGATAAATTTTTTGCATCTTTGTTAAAGTATCAATAAAAAAAAAAGGCCAAACAGAAGCTAATTGCACAACGATGATAATTTTTAAAGCCTGGCTATAATTTAAGATGTGAAAAAGAAATTCAAATCAAGGGGCAACTTTACTGAAGGCAATGAGAGATGGGGACATCCCTTAATTAGGAATTGCAATTAAAAATAAATTTGACTCCGTGGTGTTTTTGTGTATCTGTGTGTGTGTGAATAGGCCCTTCATTCAGCTCCCAGGGCAATCCCACAGAGCAAAACACGCAGAATGGCACGTAGACACGACTACCCACATACTCACATCAACAACATGGAAAATACCATCTACCAGTCTCTGCTTTATACTATACAGACTTTCGTTTAGTGCTCCTGATGATAAAGTCCTTGTTTTCAGGTTGAGTTCAGTCTGTGGGTGTGCCCAAAACCACAGTTGCAAAATCAGGACACTCCCAAAAGGAAAACACCTTGAAAAATGTTGAGAATGATTTCGCCTGAAGCAACCATTACGACTTTCACTTACCCAATTAACCCATTAACCCTTTTTTCATGCTGTGCCTCCACCAATAATTTGAAATTTGATCCTTTATATGTTCTGAATGTGTTCTTTGTGTTCACTCTTCTAAATAAGTGACAGAACATCAAACTTGTTGACCTAGATAATCATACCTAGATAACAGTGTTCTAACTACTCCTAAGAATAATTTCTTATATTACAAATTTTTCAACATCATTACTCACATTAAGATTTTTTTTACAAGTTTGAAATAATTAAGATTTTTTTTAAAGAAGTCTAAAAATAAAGAGAATACCATAAAAACACAACAATAATATTGTGAAATTGTATTACATTAATAAGAGTTTATTACATAAACAACTACTTTCTATTGTAATACATTACATTCTAAAATGTAATTAATTCCTGTGATAGCAAACCTGTATTTTTGTGTCACATGATCCTTCAGAAATAATTCTCTATAAAATGATTTGGTGCTCAAGAAACATTTCTTATTGTTATCAATGTTGAAAATTGTTTTGCTGCTTAATATTTTTGTGAAAACTGTGAAACTTTTGAATGGTAATGCAGTTAAGTAAAAAAAGAAAGCGGCAAAAACCGGTTTCAATATTGATAATAAGAACCATTTTTAATCATTGAGAACCAATAACAATTTTAAACAATTTAGCACCAAATCATCATATTCGAATGATTTCTGAAGGATCATGTGACATTGAAGACTGGAGTAATGGCTGCTGAAAATTAAGCCTTGCCGTCACAGGAATAAATTACATTTTAAAACATATTAAAATAGAAAACCATTATTTAAATTGTAATAATGTTTCACAATATTACTGTAATTTTAATCAAATAACTGCAGCCTTGGTAAGAATAACAGACATCTTTAAAAAAGTCTTATTCCAGTATTCCAAACTTCTAAGTTATTATATGGCATTTTAATATGATAAATTAATTTATTTACCCCAGAAATGTTTTCATATGCGCCAAAACTATTGATTGATTGAAAAAGGTTATAACCTACAAAGTCACAAAAGCAGGTGTAGAAAGTTGGAAAGTTGTTGCATATGGGCCCACTGTAAATGCAGGCAGCTTGTGATGACTCTGGCACAGTGCCATGTTGAATCTGCCTGAACAGAGACAGTCTAATGAGCACAGACACTGCAGACATGCCCTGCCAAAACAGCCACACATACAGTACCAGCACAGCTCCTCATTCAACAGGATCGCTGAACTGTGCTGTCTTTCAGAGAGATTGATCAGATTCCCACCCATAAGCTGCATGAACACTGCACGTTCTGTCTAAATACTGGACAAAGACTGGAAAGGAAGAAGTCTGGGTTCTTTCTGAGCCTTAGCTCAGATCTATAAACACACAGCACAATGGTACTTTCAGTTAAACAAAAAAAAAAAAAAAAAAAAAAAAGGTGTCACCCAAAAATGCAGATTCTGTCATCATTTAGTCAGCCTAGTGTTGTTCCAAACCTGTATGACAATCTGTCTTCCGCTGAACACAAAAGAAGGTATTGCAACCAGTTTTGGTGACCACTTTATGGACACAAAAAAAGAAAGAAATTTCTTAAATTTCTTTCATATGATGCAATTTTAATTTTTCCTTTCTCTTTGGAGTGTTACAAGCTCTTGGTGCATAAAGAAGATCTGTAAAGTTGCAAAGACTAAAGTCTCAAATCCAAAGACATATTCTTTATAAAAGTTAAGAGTCAGCCACTCCTACCTAAAATGGCTCATTCTAACACGCCCCCACATGTGGGAAGATTTGCATAACGCCGCCCAAATGTTCACGCAAAGCAAGGCGGCGTAACTTTTATTCTCGCTGTAGTATTGTTGTTGCCGCCGCCATGCCATGGAGATGCTGTGTTTCGCTGTGAAAGTGAAACTACTTTGTTTGGTCTTCCAAAAGAGGATGATATCCGCTTCGTCATGCCTAGAGCTGATCCGTGCTGGTCGCTGAGGAAATACATCAACTTCACGCTGTGGATCGCCGGATCGGCTTTCACCGTGGACGAAGCGGAGTCCAGCCCGGGATCGTCACATGTGGTTGCCGCAAGCCCGCTCCTTCGTCGAATCCGCCGGCCACGCCATTCTCAAGCCCACCGTTCGTCGCTCACTCAGCCCGCCGGCCTCCGCTCACTCAAGCCCGAGGTGTGTGACCCGGCCTGACAGGGCATCGCAGTATGGTAGGGGTGTAACATTTCCGTCACACGCTTAAGGTATTCGGCCAATCACAAACGCACTGGATAGCTGGCCAATCAGAGCACACCTCGCTTTTCAGACCGATGAGCTTTGTAAAAATCGACGCGTTTCAGAAAGGCGGGGCATAGAGGAGAAACAATAATGTACAGTATGTGGAAAATAATGTGTTTTTTGAACCTTAAACCACATAAACACATTTCATTACACCAAATAATGTTCTTTTTAGCAGCATCATATGACCCCTTTAAAAATTTCACCAGCCATGACTCCAGTCTTCAGTGTCACATGATCCTTCAGAAATCATTTTTATATGATGATTTGACAAAGTACATTTAAAAAAATATATATATATAATAATTTCCAATTTTTTTCCCACCAGTGAAAAATAAGGTGTTGCATCTATTTAAAAAACAATATTCCACAAAAAAAAAAACACTGCAACAATATTACAGTAACACTACAGCTGAAGTCCTCTTTAGTCAGTTTCAATCCATTCAATACCTGAGATGCAATATTGCACCATGTGTGTTTGTAAGAGAGAGCAAGTCCACAGCATGATACGAAAAACAAGAAAGCAGCGACAGTTTTTGTTACACGAACGAGCGGTCTGCTAAACATAAGCCACACGGACATTGGCGAATATTAGGAAATCGACTGCTAATTGCTATAACTGACCAATCAGAATCAAGTATTATGTTTGGGCCAGAAGCATGATAAAAGCAGACTTTTTTGTTAATGAATTGTACTGATTAATGGATTTATTGCTTACCCAGCCTCCTCTCCTCTTTAACCATGACACAAGGCTTTTGCGAACAAACTCGCCCATGCAGTCGACAATGGTGTGCACCATCGCTGGATGCCCATGCCGAACACAGTCCACAGCTAGAGCTCCGGCCACAGCATACAGAGACACAATCTTCCCCCATGTTACACCTGTAGAGAGACATATAATCCGAGATATAATCCGACTGACTGTCTGTCCTTGTCCACGGACATTTATTCAGAACGCATTTAAAATGCTGCATTGCAAGATCATGTGCTGTTAAATCTCTCGTGTTGCCCGTTTTGTTTGACACAGGCAAAGAGGTAAAGTGTTCCAACTAATGCATTTCAAGCTTAATCAAATCATTTATTTCCACTGACAGTATATACACTGTACAATATGTGTGTGTACTGGTGGAAGTGTGTATGAAAATCATAACCAGATGAGTCATGAAAATTCCTGATAATCCCTCCCTATTTCTTACAGAATGTTATTATTGTTATATAACTGCCAGGCAGGCCATCAGCTGGTGTGTCAGCCAGAAAGACACAAGCAACATTTTATTTTTTTTAGCAGAACAAATTCACGTTTGACTTGTGACGACAATCTCAATGTACAGTATATGTGATTCAATGTGGCTATAACATGTTCAGTGCATTTAACAGCGTAATGACTTCAATAGCAGTTGAAAAGGTACAAATGCTTTGCTTTCCCTCCATCATAAATGCATTAGGGTCATGGGTCTGAATTTAATGAAAAGGCTAAAGTACTAGCATGTTTCGTTTAACAAGTGGGCATTATGATTTATTAGAGCTAATGTGATCAATGGACTCCTAGATACACTACTCTAACCTTTAAACTTTTCAGCCTGGGATGAAACAAAATGTGATAAAGCTGCAAACCCCCATCTGGGAACATCAAATAGCCAGACATAAACACATCAACCCAGGAACCTAATCTGAGACTAGCAAAGACAGGAAACACAAAGGCAAAAGGAAACCATATTGAGGCATATGAGAGATAAAAGCTGGTTTGAAGTTCAAGATAAAAAGAAACATTCCCTCCCTCTGTCTCTTGTAAGAACGGAACGTCAAGTTATACAATTTAGAGGGAATATTTTACAGTTTACAGCAAACGGTTTCAAATCAAATGAAGACATGTATTAAATAAATGTAGATGCACATTGACACTCAACATACTGGTCTATTACCTTCCTTTTGTGCAATAATAGAACCATCTGTCTATGCAGAAGCACTGTCATTGCCAAAAAAACAAAAACACAAAAAGTCTGGATTTTCCTGCATGCAGTTAGGATCTTGCATCTCTGTTGTGACGGTTAGATTTAATGTTAAATAGAAAACAAATTGAATTAAGAAATCTGTAAGGAAAGTTTGCAAGTCTTGAAGAGTCTAACATGTGACATTTAAAAAAAGCTTTTAAAAAATATAAAAATAAATAAATAATAGAAAGATCCAACAGCTGATAAATCTACTCACACACCTCAAAGTCAGCATTTTCCCATTGGATTTTTCCATTCTAGTTCAGAGACTAAATGTAGGCCTAATTTTGTAAATTGCTTTAATGGTTTTGATTTACTTGAGTATAAAAGATCCGGTAAAATGCTTCCTCTTGACAGAATCAGCTATACAATTTAAGTAGATTAAGTTTTAGTAAACCAATGCATTAGAAAAACACAATTTCTAAAGCTTACATTCCTAAGCCACAAAGTAAAACATGGAATCATTTTGATTTCTTTTCAAAATGCTATGCATAACATCTTTTTATGCATAAAATTGCACCATTATTTATTTTAAATGATCTTAGAAATAGTAAAACGGAACAGAAATGATCAACGAATTAAAAAAGCAAAAGTGAACGTACATATATTTTTAAATATATTTTATATATAATTTTAAAATATGTATTACAATATACGTATAACGCATAGTGTGAAAACATCAAAATAAATCTTCATTTCTATATAGTTGCACAGCCATATGAAAAAGTGCAGAGTCACATGAAAAATACTCACTCAGAGGGTAAAAAAAAATAAATGAATAACATAAAATCAATTAAGTGAACACCAGTGACCAGTTGCACTGCTTCAGGACAGGTATGTGTACAGACAGGAGGTACAAGGGTGTCACCGGGTCCAGAGAGGAATCTTTGTTGTCCTGCTTTGACTGACATGAGCAATTATGCTTTATTACTTTAAAAAAACAAAGAATATTTTCCTGGACACATGAGGTGAACATGTTACAGCACATCTAAAGAGCTGCTCAGGTTGAAAAACAGACCACATTTTACTAAACTCTAAATCTGGGAGGTCAAATAAGGGTTGAAGTTATATGAACTAAGCTGATTCCCAAGGGCTTGTACTAAATATAAGTGATGTACAGTATGCAGCAAAGGGAATGAAAACTTCCATGGTGCCCAGACACTGTTTACTTTCAAGGAAAATCCATATTTTATGGTGCTGAGAGTTCTCTAGTCAAGCGCAGCACCGTTTCTCTGTGTGAATATATAAGTGTCAGAATGGATTCATTTTTATCCTCTCTCAAAGAAGTGTACAAGCCACTAAAAGGGATAGTTCAGCCAAAAAATTATTAACTCAATCTCTCATTATTCCAAACCTCAAACCTGTATAACTTTATTCTATGGAACAAAGAAGATATTTTAGCAAATGTTTCAGTTTCTTTTCCATTCATTGGAAGTCAATGACAACCAATACTGTTTGGTTACCAACATTTGTCAAAATATCTTCTTTTGTGCTCTCACAGGTATGGAACACCATGAGAGAATGTTCATTTTTTGGTGTACTATGCCTTTACGGAAATGTGGACAACATCTCTGAAACCAGATGCACCGACCAGTTTACCTAAAGAGTTTTCTGTACTAAATGTATTTTAAGACAAAGCATTGACTAACCTGTAGAGAAGATTTCTGCAGCAACGGCCAAAAAGGCATCAGAGACTATACTCTCAGATGCAATTGTGATGTTGAGCTGTCTTGCTACGTTGCGGTACACATTGGGTCGCAGGTACTCCAGCTCATCACCTAGGAGACAGAGAGATAAATCAGTTTTTATTTTCCCTTGGCTCAAACGATCGGTTTTCTCATAATAGAAAGAACCTGTCAAGAGTCGTATTGAATAAAACCACTAATTCAGGGAAGCTTGACACAATGACAGTGCATAATTACTGTAATCTAACCTTAAAACCTGCTATTAATAGCATTGTTTGTATCTTTTCATCATTCTTTCATATGAGAAGCCAATTATATTGCTGTTGAGATGAAATTTTGTTATTGACCAAATACTTATTTTCCACCATAATTTGCAAATAAATTCTTTAAAAATCCTACAATGTGATTTTCTGGATTTTTTTTTCTCCTTTTTTCTCTCATAGTTGAGGTATACCTATGATGAAAATTACAGGCCTCTCTCATCTTTTTAAGTGGGAGAACTTGCACAATTGGTGGCTGACTAAATACTTTTTTGCCCCACTGTATATTGCAACGTCCTGATGATGAAACTGTCTGTTAAAGAAATAGTTCACCCAAAATGAAGATTTGCAGAAAATTACATTACTTGCTCACCAATGGATACTCTACAGTGAATGGGTGCCGTCAGAATGAGAGTACAAACAGCTGATAAAAACATCACAATCCAAAAGTAATCCACACGACCATCAATTAACATCTTTTGAAGCAAAAGGCTGCTAGTTTTTAAGAAACAAATCCATCATTAATGCATCTTAATTTTAACCCAAGTGATGTAATATAATAAAAATCTGTTCCAATGAACAGAAACAAACTAATCTACAACTTGGATGGCCTGAGGGTGAGTGAATATCCCTAAATTTGAATTTTTGGTTGAACTACTCCTTTAAATAAGTCTTCAGCTATGTTTTCATCTATGTCTCACCGACCATCCATTTTATGTCAGTGATTCAGGTGGGTGAGGTGTCTATGCAAGGAGTAGCTACATGTCTTTCAGGACAATACAGGTTAAATGTGGGTGGGAAACTCTCAATCATTCTTGTGATAATGATCTGCATGTCTGCATGCTTTGTCCACAAAAAGCAGCTCCCCCCAGTTACACAGCCGTCTCAAAATAAAATTGATGTGCTTTTCCCTTTAAGGAGAAAACAGGTTCTTACAAATGAGAGTCACTCAGATGACAGTCACTTGGTATACGTTTAGGCAACTTGTAGTGTGTCTGATCAACAGATGATGGGAGTTTAAATGGCATCAATAGTCATTGCATCCAATCTCGTGAAAGGGCTCAGAATGTCCAAAGGCATGAAAGGTAGAAAAAAAGGAATGTGGAAGATAGCTCAACATGGTACAAAAGGCAAAGTACTTTACAGTGGGTGAGACACAGACGAACCTTGCAAGAGTGTTGTAAAATATTACGCAACCGTATGGTTTGGCTTTGAGGAAGCTACGAAACGTGTTTATTTTCATTTCTGAAAGTTCACAGAACATTCATGAATACCTCGTTTTTTTCCATTTATTTTGGTATGAACCAGACAAGCACAGCTCAAGAAAGAATGAAGGTTTAGCTTGGTCTTAAAATAGATCCATAATATAACCACAATTCAGACATAGGCTACTGTAGATAAGTATACGTGTCTGATCTTGTACTTTCTTGCTACTAATATATATATATATATATATATATATATATATATATATATATATATATATATAAATATAAAAATCCCCAAAC